CTTCACCAGTTTTCAAAAATGGAGATCATACGAACAAAACAAGCCGGTAAGGAACCAAACAGGAAATACGCATAGAGTAGAGCGGATGTAGATGTGACCAATCAGAGGCCTCCTGTCTGCAGCCACCTACAATTTTGGAGAGGAGCACCAGAGTGTCTGCGGTCACCTATGGGCACAATTTGCTTTAACTATTACACACGCAGACAACCTGGTTTCCGAGTTTAAATCAGCCTAAAGTTGATCAGGAAGGCCGGCTCTGTGATTGGATGCCCCCTGGACTCAGTGCAGGAGGTGGAAAACAAAAAGATCCTAACTAATCAATATCTCTGTTTGGTAATGTCTCCCACCTCATGCATGAAGCTGTTGCAGAGCTGAAGCGCTCCTTCAGCGACAGACTGCTGCACCCTAAATGCACCAGGGAGCGTTATCACAGATCCTTCCTCCCAGCAGCTGGAAGACTCTAGAACCACCACTGTTCCCAACAACCTCAATAAGTTTTTACCTTCATGCTGATTTTGCAGTTCCTATCTTAGTCAGTTACTGAATAACTCCTTTGGAAAGTTTAAGGCACTAAACAGCACTGCAGCAGTGAAAGCCCTTCAACACCAGGGGGAGAGCTGCACCCTGAGGTGACAGGAAGTGTATTTGCTCACCACCTCCTGCCACAACGCGGATAATTTGCGAGTGATTGACAGGTCGAGTCGCGGGAGGTGGAGACTGATTAGAGAGAGAAATTGCCCAAGAAACGTCCCTTTCAAGGATCTGGTTTAGCTACGAGGCTTGGCTAACTGCATGCAATGAGGCTAATGCTTTACCCTGCTTTTCCTGACTCCTTTTTCAAACGTCAGGATCTGAGCCAGTATTTTTTTAGAAAACGCAAAGAAGAATGAACAATCTGGGATTCAAGTGGAAAATAATATCACATTCTAATTTTTCTAGATGTTTGTTCATTTGCAGAGCTGCTCATAAATAAACACATTCTCAGAAATCAAAGTTTTTATATATTAAAAAAATATAAAGTTAGTCATTAATAAACTGTTACATTATTTTTTTAGGTTTTTGACACAATATTGGACCATGCAAAACACAGATTTAGCTTCACAAAGCCTCAGAAAGGCTGAATTTATGTACAAAAATTAAACCTGTACATGAAATTAGGTTTTGTTTTTATAAAGTGTTTTTATAATTTTCTTTTTTGTTGTTGTTGACATTCATATTAATATACTGGTATGATAAATTAGTATATTTTTGAATGGTTTTTGGTATACGTCTATTTTGAATCACCAGTGTCTTCACTGGTAATGACGATGGAAAAATGGGAAGAACTTGTCAAGAACTGATCTCCAACGCATTTCAATGTATTCGCCGTTTTCCAGACAACCGCTAAACGCGTTTCTAACTGTTCTAACAGCTACTGTTTAATGGCGTATCGGCAGCGTTTTGGTATA